CATGAACTCTTTCATGTGTTTAATTCCCTTATTTCTCTCCAAGATGTAGACTCATATGCTTGGAAAAAGATGCCTGCTCCGCCATGCGCATACAGGATATAAATGTAGGATGAACAGTGCCCTTGCGAACAGGGTAGTTAGAGGCTCTGGGTGCGTAAGGTGTTTGAAGCGTAGCAAAGGCATGTTCTCAAGTTTGGGAACAGTGTGGATGGCTGTGTGCTGCTGGCTGGGCACAGGTGGATGACCATCTGCTTCGTAAATTGTGCACAGGCGCAGGTGTCCTTAGGCTGCTAACTGAAGGCCTTTTGATCTTGCTCAGACATGCTGTCTGGGCACTCTTCCCCCTTGCAGGTACGGAAGCGCAGTGCTGCTCTGCAATAGCACTTAGATCTAATTATTAATAAAACAGGAGCTGATGATTACTCCGGTGGCATAGAAACATCTGTCTCCGTCCTTTGTCGTCTTTTTTTTTCTTGGGCCTGAGAGACTGTAAAGTATTGCTCTGTACAACTTGTGATGGGAGGTGTATAAGTTTGTTTTCTGGGTTTTAGGCTCTTGTTACGTTGTGCAAACCAGAGATGCTCAGAAAAGAATCATCTTCCTCCCCTTTGGCAAACCAGGACACGCACAATGGCCTCCAACACTCCTGCAGCTGCAGGTTTTGTTTTTTGTCCAATGTCTGCAGGAGCATTTTTGAAACTCCTCTGGTTACATTCTGCCCCGGGGAACTGCTGCCTTTGTGCTGAGGAAGCTGGAAGTGCTGGGGCTGCAAGGAAAAAAAAAGAGCACAGGTCTGATTTGCAGTGTGATCTGTCGTGCTTGTAGTGCAAATGTGATGGCAAAGGTACTCCTGTGTCAGCTGTGGCAGTGGTTTGAGGTGATGTTGTCTTGTCTGTATTCCACAGAGAAGCTCCCTGATGTAATCGGTCTCTAGCAGGCTTTAGGAGGATAGTTATAATGGTCTGTCTGGGGAGGGTGGTGTTGGCTACCAAATATGTTCTTGATAGCTTCTCTGAGCAATGGACTCTCTGGGTACACTCATAGAATATTATTTTTCATGTCAGTACTTCCTCAGCTCTTTCCAACCTCCCTTCTTTCCAGGGCAGCCAGGTACTTCAAGATTCAGTTACTTAACCTGACATATTTGAAATTTGATTTCAGAACACCCTGGCTTTCTGTGGGGAATTTTAGATTCTTGGCATGTCTGTAAATCAGGCCATGGGTACCAAAAATTAGAGGAACTACCATGAGCTTTGTTCTGATCCTCTTTTAATGCAGAGGTAGCACTTCTTATTTAGAAGATGAATTGTCCCTGTTTGAAAGGCAATACACCAGTTGGATGTACAGGGTTGGACCCACTGGGTTGATATGTAACTTCATTGCCATGGCAGTAGTAGGTAAAAGAAGGCTTGGATTCTTTGGTTTCCAGATTCTTTGCCAGTCCGAAAGAACTTTTCATTCCTCTTGTTATCCCGAAATCCACCAGTAAGTGATGTTGAAACTTTCAACCTGGAACTGGAATAAAAATGAATAGAAGACTCTGAAGGTTGCTGAGGTCTCCTCGGGCACAAATTGCAATGGGTGAATGAATCGCACTAACAAAACCATCTCTTGTGATGTGGAAATGAGTTTCACGCCTTCCCTCTCATGTGGTCTTCGTGTACAAACAGCTTTGTTTGTAAGTGTCAAAGGGCAGGGGAATTCCACAAAGGGGGAAGGTATTTCCTGTGTGTGACAGGCTGTCCTGCTTGGGTCATGGCAGAGATCACTCCTTTCTCTTTGACCTGGGTTTTGAGAGTCCGATCCAAGAATGTGACATTCTTTCCCTTTCTTGTGTCATGTCTGGCTGTTGTGTTCAGTGACACTTCCTTGAGACCAGCGGGAACATATCCTTGTGTGCTGAGGCGTGAGACTTGTTGGCTGCCATCCCTCAGTGTGTCCTGACCTCTCCAGTATTTCTAGCTTCATACCCCCAAATCAGTTAATCACACATCTTGTGCTCCCTCCCCAAATTACCACTTTCTGGGCAGTCACTTAGACACAAGCAAGAGATTCTGTTTCCCAAATGATAATTGCATGTGGATGAGCTTCTGTAGCTTGTCTGACACTGAGGCAGTCTCCAAGGATAGCTGGGTGTTTGATCTTATCTAGTAACAGTAGTGGCCACTAGCTGAGTTTTCTGGGTCCTTCACTCAGTGTCACCCCCCCCCTCCCTGGGACCTTGCTGTGTGCCTCAGCAAACATGTTGGGAAATGACACCTCTTGCAGTAGAGTAGCAGGTTCTGGTAGCTTGCTTCTCTGTGAAGTGCGTGGAAGCCTTCTGCTGAAGGACTGTGTATGCTGAGCACATCCTTTGGCTGTCTGGGAAGCAAAGAGGTGCAGGTTGTGGCTCATCCTAACCTCTTCCCTTACTGTGGTTTTGCAGATTTCTATGCCAGTGTTTGTGGCTTGGGTGACATCCAAGGGAAAGGCTTTCCTATTCTGCTACCAATTCCTTTTTCTGCCTGTTGCAGAACATTTTTGTTCCGAGGCTTCTGATCTTTAACAGGTATCTTTTCCTCTCCTTTTCCCGTGTTTTCTCCTCTTCTTCGTTTATAACACTTTGGGTATCACACAGCGGTGATGCAAAGAAAACTCCTTTAGCACAGCTTCCCTCCTGGAAAAGCAGTCAGCAATCTGCATGACGTGATGATATATGTAACAACAGACCTCAGTGCCATGTCACATGATTGAAGAAAAATGATGTTATGAAGAACAGAGCAACTTTAGATCAAATCAGAGCTAGCAAGCTGGGACTACGTTGCATGCCTGACTGCACAATGCTGAACAGAGCTACACATGTCAGGACCCTTCCAGGAAACTCAGGGTGGGTGGTAGGCTGTGACAGCTGAGCTCCACTTTTGTCATGCCCTGAGAAGTCCTCACTCATTTGAGGATTAAACTATAGCTACTTCCCCGACGCAGAACTGCTGCCAAGATTCCAGTCTGGCTCAAGCCACTCTCCACACTTCATAATGAAGTTTGAGAGAGCTTTAACATCTTGGTGTTGGCAGAAACATGGTTTTAAAATCATGGTGTGGTTGGAGACTAGCTGGCTCCGGACACTGGTAACAGGGCTGGAGACTTTCATCTCAAGGTCAAATCCAGCTGCAGTGTTAGCGACAAAGTCATGAACTTCTGACTGATGGTTTAGGGCTTACGTGTGGAAAGATGTCTCAAGTCCAATGCCAGGACTGGGAGTCAGGAGACTTGGGTTCAGTTCCTGAACTTTGCCTGAGCTGTTCTGAGACACCCTCAGTAAGACACTTGAAGTCTTCGTGCCTTAGGTATCTCTGTGAAAAAGCACTGAAGGTCTACCTCCATCGACGTGATGCCAAGTCCTCAAACTCAGTCGTGACTGCGAACTCCTGAATACCATTGCATGCAGAAACACAAAGAACTAGGTGGGACGAGCTGGCTCTGTCCAGGCCATATCAGACAAGTACCTGGATCACAGCTGTCGGTGTTAGCAGCAACTGGCATGCTTTATGGCAGCTCAGAGGGTGAGGACATAATGTTCTCGGGAGACAGTGTTGCTCTCACATCCGTGGGTGATGCCTTTCCAAGTGCAGGCGGCCATGTGCTCAGGAGGAAGCTTGTGTGGCCCTCCTCTCTGGTGGCAATAGAAGTTGGTTTCTGTGTTTGGCAGCTGGCATAAATAGTCAGCAACAGCTTACTGACACACTAGTTTCCCAAAGACTGTTAACCATGACTAAATGCTGCCTTCTTTCAAAGACATACATGGGCAGCCTCTCCTGGCAAGCCTTTGTTACTGCTCTGCAGAGTAACTTATCAATGTTGCTGCAGTGCCATTCTGGATGTACACCTTTGCCCTGCTACCTGTTGGAGGGGTTTTGGATGAGATTCATGCAGTTTCTATCTCTGTTTTGGCCTTGTGCCTGGTTGAGCCCGGGGCAGAGCTGCAGGCGGAGCAGGCTGAGGCAGCGCTCCGTCTCTTGGCGGCTCTCGGCACTGCGAGAGGAGGCTCTTCCCAGAGGACACCCGGGTGCTTGGGGTTTGTGTCTGCCTGGCCTTAATAGAGAAGCCTAAAGCTGCAGCCTGCAACACTGTAATCCCAAAGCTTCAGCCTCTCCCTGTGCGTGCCAGATTCCTTTGGCTGTTAAATAAGGGGAGGAATTTTGAGGGGAGCTTGTAGAGTATGACTTCTGTGTTTGCTTTCAGCTTCATGAATAGCAGCAGTGACTTTTCTGGCTGTATGCTGGGAAAACTCTGATTTGCCAACTTTGAAGGGCTGCTGTTTTAAAAGAAAAGCTGACATTTATGCAACTGTCTCTTTTTGCGTTGAGTTCAGAATCACTGGTGCCCAGTGCAGGTTTGTTTGTGTCTGCAGGTAACCCTCTAGTTTCCAGTGGGGCATGGCAGTGCTTGTGCTTTAACTTGGACCCTGGGAGTGCTGTGTGCTGCACAGAGCTAACAAATGTGTCCTGCAGAGCCTCGAGTGTGGTGAGGAATAATGTAACCCTAGTTCAGATGGGGAAAACTGAAGCACAGGTCAGCTAGCTGGAAAACAGACTCCACGCAGATCACTGATGTAGTGTTGTGTCATGATGATCTTTTTCATGCTGATGTGTTGATACACCCCAGATCTGAGTGAGAAATCCACATGGAGGTAGAGTGAGGGAAACACAAGTCATCATCTCTGCTGCTTGCAACAGATTGATAGCAATGAGACCTCCACAAAGCATACTGGTGTTATTTGGGGGAGAGGTGTGGGGAAGAGCCGAAGAGTGTGAGGGCTTAAGGAGAAAAATAAGGGTTGTTGAATCAGTTCTATGCTGCAGTAAACCCTTGCTCTGTTATTATGTGCATCTCCTTTTTCTGCAGCTGGTGGTGGCTGGGGGCTCTGGGGATATATCCAGGCAGGGAGATGTGCTATGAATTAGTAGCAACACCACCTTTGAGTAGCTAAGTGCATTCTACTGACTTCTTGTTTGTGTTAGTTACAGGACTCTCATCAGGCCCACATACAAAATGTCATACCGAACAGTGACCACGCTGGAGTGGAGGTGCTGTCCTGGCTTCATGGGGAGCAACTGTGAAGAGGGTAAGTTATCCAGCAATGCATCTATCCTTACAGTGCAGCGAGGGGATGTGTGCATGAACTGGCTGGGCTGAGTTGGGCTTTGTTCCTTGCTTTGCTCTGTGCAAATAAGAGGAAGAAATCACCTAGTCTCTTCACTCCCAATCATTATCTGAATGCTCATACACAAGCCCTGAAAGATGGTCTTGGAAAACAGGCCATACTGAATGTCTGTAAAGAAGCCTGAACAAGAATGGGGCAAGAAATGAAGAAATGGGTACTCAGGGATGACCTGTTTATTGATGTGCTCATGCTTGGTGTCCGCATTGCTTCAGAAAATGTGCTGTCTCCATGTCAGTGTCATCTTCTCAACATCCCACTGCTATCACCATCAATTGCTGTAGCTGATGAAAGCTATTCCTTGGATGGCTGCTTGCAAGAGCTATGCCTGTAAGATCTGGACACAAACAGTATGTGTTCCCAGAGAGCTTTGAATTACGTTAGGCACCTTTGATTCCCCTTCCCACCTGGCCCTGACTTACTGGTACAAGATTCAGGTTGCACAGTGCATGTAAAAACACAGGTCTGGGTTTGGCATCTGATCTTTCACACAGAGGAAAACACGGGGCTCTTTCCAGAGCTAGAAGAAAGGAAAGTCTTTTCCCTTTCTCATTGTGATGGACAAAAAGGGCATGTTTTGCATTTCCCTTCCTAACATTTTCTGCTTTAACTGCTGCTTCTGGGGCTTTGAACAAGTCCTGTTTCTTGACTGAGTTTTTGGTTTAGATACTAAGGCATCTGTTTAATCTGTGTCATGACTGTTCATGGCTTATGAATGGGAGAGAAACTAGGCCTTGGGTTTTCCGTTCATTTGCATCAGGTCAACACAGCCTGCCTCTGTGGCTGGTGAAGGGTTGTTGGGGCTGCCCAACAGCTCTAAGACTGCTGTTTGTAGCTGCACCTCGTTTTTTGTGCTGTGATATCTTTGTGCTAATCACACAACTCAGGCAAATCTCCAATTAGGAAGTTGTCTCGTTACAGTCAAAGAATGATGGTTGCAGACAGCAGCTGGCTTCAGGCTGCTGAGGAAACAATAGCATCCCAGAAGCTCAAGAAAAGTCTTAAAAAGTGGCAAAGCTACCCTAAATTGCTGTCTGCAGGAGAGAGCTTTGCTTTTTAGCGTGCTGCTAAAAGAAGTGAGCCTGGGAAAGAGAAGCTGTTGTGTGCAGCTTGATTTTTTTTTTTTTTTTTTTTACCTGTCACTGCAGGGGAGAGGGATACTAAGGATTGTGGCAAACTTATTTCCAAAGTAGCTGCAGCTCGGCCTGGCCAAGGATCTGACCGGGGACCCGAGAAGCTTGTGTGTGCAGTCCGTTCGTGCCTGTAGGTTTGGACAGGTGTGAGTAATTACAGCTTAGTGGTGCTGCTGGTGTAAAGGAGAGAATCCAGCTCCCTCCCGCAGTGCCAGATCTGTCTCAGCAGAGTTCAGTGGAAATAAAAAAGCCAACATAAGCTTGTTTGAGAAAGTCAGCAGCAATCTCACAGGAGCAGGTCTGTGGAACGAGGTGACAATTTTATGCAGTCAGTTTTCAAGGTGGAACTGTTCTTTTGGGCTTGGATAAGGTCTGCGGAGTGTGAGTAGAAAGCCAGTAGCAAGCCCTCACTTTCATCTGTGAGATTTTTTTAATTTTTTTTTTCTCCCGAAAACATCTGGCACTACTGACAGTCCCATATTCTTGAAAGAAGGAAGAAAAAAAAAAAAGACCCCTCTCTAGTACAGCAGGGTTGTGCTACTTAATTTCTAGCAGCAGTATTGGCACTAGTGGTATGCACAGCCCCTCAAGCTGTCCAGAGACATCAATTTCAAAATTGAAGTATTTATTTGCTCCTTATGTTAATTCTTAATGTTAGTGTCCCTTGGAATTGTAAGTAAAAGAGGCTGAAAGGAGTTTTTTTAGGGTGCCTTGGCAATGTGATATAAAACCTGTTGTACTCTTTCCTTTTTGCACTCTCTCCTACTATAAATTTGATTCTTCTGAGAGGGTAGGATGCTTACATCTGTGTGGGTCCTTCCTGGAAACAGCAGACAAAAGAAAACAGGAAACTAAACTGAAACAAAACAAAAACAGCGCAGTTATGAAGCCACAGCGAATTAGCAGGGTAGAACCTCAAAATGTTTTAATCTTTTTTTAGTATTAGTTAGATTTCTCCTCAATATTTCATTTCATTTGTGTGTGCAGCTGGTGCTTGTGAAGTTGATGTGAGGTAGGTACAACTGAAGGCAGATTGGACCTGCACTATTTTTAACTTGTCTGTTTGCTGTGTTGCAAATGCTCTAGTTTTCCGACAGTCACTATTGTTCTCTATGTCAGCAGAACGGCAACTACAATGGCTCTGAGCTTCCACTTCAAGCTGTCTCCTGTTTCCAGAGGCTGAATTAAAAAAGTTTTCTTTCCCAGTGGGCCCTGGAATAAATAGTAAGGTTGCATTTTCATGAGTAGGACAGAGTAGGCCAGGAGATAAGGGATTGATCAAGCACACAGAGCAGTTTTGGGAGTTGCATGTGCATGGTTATGGGTGTGGGGTCCTTTCAGACTGGTGGTTTTTTGTATCTTGAGGCTTGAGAGATCCTGTCTATTGATTCCTCCTTTAATCTCCAGTGGCCAGGGTTGATATTTGCTCCTCTTTTGTGCTGTTCTGGGGTAGTGTCTTTGGGGGAGCCACTGCAGGCTATCTGGAAGATGGATTGTTTTTACTAGCTGTCCTTTTATGAGGCTTTCCTTGCCCCTTTTAAATTTATTTCTTTTAGCATTTTATGGGGGAAGATAGGATGGTGGGAGGGCGAATCAAGGAAACCAAGTCAAAGAACTTGATATCATTCAAGGGCTGCACTGCAGCTATTTCCAACATGCATACTTTCTTGTTATCTCCCAAATGGCAAGTCAGCTTTTCTTTTGCAAAGACATCCCGTGTGGTTGTCTACCCTCAAAGTATGACAGACTCTGAGACTGGCTTGCTGTAACACACCTTCAATGAGAAAACTCTCCTTCCACAGTAACATACTGCACTCTTAGATCAAGCTGTTAAATGCAATCGATTAATAATACAGAGTGTCTCAACCCTTAGCTAGTAAGTTTAGCTTGAGAAAGTAACCACTTAATTGTCACCAGCTGGCAGGCACCTACATTAATGCTGAAGGCTGCACATTGTTTAGAGTTAAATTATCTTGGGAATTTAACTCTTGCACTGTAGCTGATAAAGAGCAGCATCGTCTGGAGGAAGCCCAGCTCTAGAAGTGGGTGGAGTTTTTGCTACTCAGTGGGTTATTAATTTACTGAGGTGGGGATGGCTGCTCCCAATCTGTTTCCTTTTTTAAGTTGACATTGCTTGGGGCTCTCCCCTCTTCCCTTCATTGCTTTCTCCTCACCCAAAGGTATGTCAACAATTGAAAGGTCTCCAATTCCTTTATTGGTTTTGTAGAATGGAACCAGCTAGTTGAGTAGATAGTTAAAAATCATCAGTTGTACCAGAGCTTCCTGAAAGGTTTCTTGCAACCGTCTTGGATGGAGAAAGAGACTTGATGCAAACAAGTCTGGTGAATTTAACTGTCAGTAGATGCTAATTTTTATTTTCCAGTTTCAGGAGGTTTTTTGGTTTGTTTAAACTGGAGCCCAAGCCTAGGACAGGAAATGAATCCACTGAGCCACCCAGTCTGCTGACTGCTGATATAAAGACCATATGGATGAGGGCAGTGCAGAGGTGAAGTGGTTTAGCTATTGCAATCATGCATCAAGCTGATTGATTTGAATCCAAGATGATGCTGACATTTCAACTCAGCCTTTTTTTCTATATGGCTGAAAGTTCAAAGGCAAGTGCAATCTCTTGGGAGAGGAAAAGTGTCCCTAGCAAGTTCAGGGGCGCAGCACTGCCCTAGCTCTCCAGCTACGCAAGGTCTTATTTCACTTTACAAATCTAATATAGATTTCTTGTTTGTTTGTATCGCTTGAATTTGGGATAGTAGCCAGTATCCTCTTTACCCCAGAAGCAGATTGATGGTAGACAGCTTAGCTGTTTGGGCAAGAAGCAGCTCCAAGAGTAACCTTGGCACCTCTAAAGTGATGCCATTGTGATTCCAAGCTTACTTTTTTTTTTTCTTTAAGAAGACAAGTAGGATAGGAAATTTGAGTAGCCTTGTTCAAGTAATGGTTTAATTTGAGAACTTCCCTTTTCCCCCTCTCACCCCCTCATTTCAGTTCTTAGAATATTTTTATCTACTTTTAATAACTATTGTTTGCATCTTGTCATCTTGATATTCTTCAAACCTCTTAGATTCCTGTGTGTTTACAGTTTTCAAAACAGCAAGAAAATGAGGACTTTCTTCTCTGTTTGACGGAGTGCAAAAACCCTCTTCTTTTTTACTGCTAGTTCACAAAGTTTCTTGGTCTCAGGAGAGATGCAGATCAACGCTGCCAGGAAAATCTTAAGCTAGCAAATGCAATTATGATACAAAATTTGATGAGGCCATGAGAATGAACACCAAAACTAGAGACCTGAAAGTCTGAAAGCCCATTAAAGTGCTCTAGAAGGAAGGGTATTCAAAGTGATGTTGATGGGACCTCACTTCTCCAGGTCTTGGTTTGCTCCCCTGTGAACCACTAAACATAAACTGTCAATCTATGTGAAAATACAATGTGAAGATTATGGACTAACATTTCCCATAGTATCACAGTGAGTCTTTTTCTTTTGTCGAGTACTTCAGTTCCTTCTTGTTTCTCCCTCTTCCTCATTGCCACTGTTTGGAAGTAAGGGCGTTAAGTCTGTATATCACATACAGCAAGTAGCAGAGCTCTTTGCCACTGAGCATTTTTCATCTTGCCCTTAAAAACTAGAGAAAATGTAAGTGGGTGTCAAGAGAAGCATTGTACTATTTGTTCCTATTGCTGCTAAAGCCTAGTACAGCGACATTTTCCCACTTCAGCAGAGTCCAACTCCTGTCATAAAGCAAAAGCTTCCCTTTAAACAGT